GCGGAGTCTGCACGCAACCAGCCCTTCTAGAAGCCCACATCTGAGGGTTGTCGCTTGGCGCTAGTGTATGATCGGATGGCTGATGTTTAGAGCTAGGGTTAGGCAAAACCCCACAGGATTTAGAGGGGTTTTGAGCTAGTCAACGGGGTTATCTAGGCTTTGACTGAGTATAACTAATTTTAAACAAATAGAAAAAAATATGAAACATTCGCCGTTCGTCGTTTTATAAGACACACTAACGAGGAAAAACACCAAACTTGGTATACGGAAACTTTCAAAAAAAGAACCTAGGTGGCACAATCGAGGTCAAATGAGCACCATTAATTTAAAAAAAATAAAAATATATAAAACATGCGCCTAATATTGTCTTATGTGACATGTTACCAACTAAAAATCATAAACTTGGTCTATGGACATTTTCATGAAAAAACCTTCACACATATGAGCTATCACGTACAACATTGCACATAGTTCAAGGAGAGGAGGTAGGGTTCCCTTAGGTTTTTGAAAAATTAAAAAAATTAAAACATTTACCCAAGCTTGATTTCAATGTGAATAAGAAGGATCTGAACTTAGTTTTCCATTTTCATATCTTAAACATGTTTTTAATGGTTTCCTATTAAAGCATATTTTTTCAAAAACAAAATGTAAAAATATGAAGATTAATTCAATAAATAGTGAGACTTCGAATCTACACTATATAGATTGAATAGGTGTTAATAAAAAATATTTGGCTCATTTGGAGTAGGTCCAAAAAACTTGATTACAAATGGAGCTCATTTGGAGCAAATTTCTCATGACTATAAGTTTTACCACGCAAAAGAGATTAGATGGTTACCTAACGTTTATAATAATTCAGCAAACTTTGCAACATCACACCACATGCAATGGACTTCAAGTGTTGGTTCAAATTCAAATTTTGCCTCAAATTCAAATTAGAATATTTGATCTGTTATTGGAATATTTGATCTGTTATTGAAATACTTGATCAAATGATGGACTATCTTCATTCAAATGTTGTTTTTTTGCTCTGTTATTGGAACATTTGATCAAATGATGGGCTATTTGCTCTTTTTGCTTATTCTTTGCAGCATGTCTGATCAGTGAAGCAACACTGAAGCAGTATGTGTGATCATTGCAGCACCTAAACTTATAGCTCACAACATCTAAACATAACATACCATACACCACAGGCAAATTTAAGAACAGACAAATATAGATAGCATAATAAATTAATACCATAGATCACACACAAAGTTTAGATACCACGACACAAAGTTTACCAAACAGCCACATTCATTTTACCAAAAGTAAAATATAAAACATCATCACATCACACTAGAGTCAGGGCCTTTGCGGGGGCAGCATGCTGCCACCTGTCCTCCAAAATCTTATTGCACACATGAATGAATTACATTAATACATTATAGATTCATATACACCATGTCAAAGGAACTAAATGAACAATCTAAATTTCAAGTAGGCTTACATCATATTCTTCGTCGTCACTATACTCTGGATCATACGGGTCGAACCCAGTAAGGCCCAACTTCCTCTTATTCCCCACTGAATCATCCTCCTGAATATATAATTACATTCATTACTAGTAAATACAGAAGCCAACTGATAATTTAGATATGCACACATGACACATTGATCATATTATCCATACTATGATCCTATTTGCATTTTCCATTGCCATGCACACACATTGAACAACAAAGCTAACATAACTACATATTATGGACAAATTTATATACTGATGAATCAAGTAAGTTCTTAATCAATTGGTAGGTACATCAAAATTAATGCATTCTATTTGGGCATATGACATTCAAAAAGCCAATCTGTGTAGCATTCAAAAGCAAATCTAAGCATACATGTCTGTAGCATTCAAAACCCCAATCTGTGTAGCATTCAGAAACGAATCTAATAATCACGTGTAGCATTTAGGCATAGAGATCTCTATCTCTCATTAAGATCTATCTAGCATTTTTGCAACGAATGTAATCCGAAAAACTCCCATACAAAAAATTCCCATCCCCCCATACAAAAAACCCCATCCCTCAAACCAAATACTCTAACCATCTGTACTACCCTTCCAATCACAATCCAACCAATGAAACTAACTCTACAACTCATCTAAATATTGCAACTAGGGTACAAGCAAATGGAAGTACCTCATGTACCACCTTCTCCTCGCAGGCAACGCATCTGGATGGACTGCGCCGCTCGATGCCGTCACCTTCAGCTCCGGTAGTGGCCTGGCGGAGCCCGCCACCTCCTTCTCCACATCCACAGTCGTGACAACGTTTGCGAGTTACCCCACACCACCATGGACGCCGCCAACGTCCTGCACTGCATCTGTCGCGGTCATCGCTCCCTGTAAATCTCCGACCGCTGCGCTAGCGTCACCAGGAGTGTCCGCCATCGGTATGAGGGAGGCGATGAAGGCGAGGAAGAGGATGCGGTGGGGGAGAGCGAGACAGTGTGGTGGAGGAGAGCGAGACGACGCGGTACAGGAGAGGTAGACAATGCAGCACGGAGGGGATTTGGAGGGAAATGGTAGGGACGAGGTGGTTCCCCCTCTTATACGATGGGACATTTCTGGCATGTTCCATGGACACGTGCTACCCCATGACCGCGGTCGGTTACATGCACGCCTACGCGGCCCCACTAGTCAGAGTTAACGGTCAAGCCATTGACCCGACAACAACGTTCAGTTTGCCCATTAGTGAGAGTTTCAACCAAGGGAGTGGGGGAATTGAGCAAAAGTCAAGAACATGGGGATGAATGAGTACAACTAAGGAACCAGGGGCACAGATGTAAAAATCTCTTTGTTTTATAGTGAAACTGATTCCAGCGCAACGCTCATCTCTACTACTCCCTCCGTTCTCCAAAAATGCTAGACTTACGGGAATCCCACTACGGAGGCAAGTTACAGGATTGCATGGCCTAATCTCATTGATTTTCTCACCATAAAACTAGCCGTGGGACCCAAATCGTGATGAATCCTAGGTTTCCAACTCATCTCGATAGAAACTGCCCGTAGCTGTAGCAAACTTCGTTCCAAAATATAGTGTTTTTTATTCCCGTGCTTCAACTTTGATCATAAATTAACGGCATCGAGCCACTCTGGACCTTTTGGTACTGCGAGCAACGCATCCATCTCCACCTCCATTGCTGTCGTGGCGTCGCTTATGACCATTGTTCAGTGAGGTGGATCTGGAAGAGGCACGACAAGAAGACAATGAAGGCATACTTTAATATTAGGCAGAATCACGTTCATGCGTTTATTGCGCAAACCGTACATTTCATTAGCTGCACGGGCTTGAAGTCTCTGCAGCCACGTTTATGTGCATTTGTGACTTTCTGTATTTCAGTGATAAGGGTCGTAGACACCGCCGTCAAATCCACAAAGGCATCGTGTGGTATTATATAGAGTCATGTTCGCCTGTGTCTGTTTTCCGGATGATTCCGTCGACTCTTTAGACGGAGAGGCACGGACGAGAAGCCCATGGAGGCATACTTCAGTATTACGCATAGTCACATTCGAACGTTTACTGCACAAACCGAACATGAGATAGACACTTAGGTTAGGTCTTCACTACGCATGTACAAAAAACACAACAGCTTAACAGAGGAGGAGGAGAAGATCTCAAAGAAAAAACGAGGATGAGGCACAGTGCAAGGACATAATTGCAGATGTCACCACTGGCGCGCGTTTTTTAAAAGCACAGGCTAGCACTCTCTGCAGCCACGGTTATGTATGTTTGCGACTCTCTGTGTTTCAGTCATTAGGTTCACAAGCACATGCATCAAATCCACAAAGGCATCGTGTGGTATTATATAGAGTCATGTTCGGTTATGTTTGTGTTCCGAATGATTCAGTCGACTCGTTCAGACGGAGAGGCATGGACAAGAAGCCCATGGAGGCACACTTTAGTATTAGGCAGAGTCACCGTCATATGTTTATTGCGAGGCAATGAGAGGCAGATTCGAGAGACGCCGTTTTTGAAGCGTTCAAAAGGCATGGTCGATGTTTAGCCCATGGAGCTGAACCTTTGTCTCACGAACAACCATGGGCGTTTACTCTGTGAGGATCGGAATAGCCTGTGTGTCAGATACACTGTATTTAAAATATTATTTCCTTGTATTTAAAAGCACGGATGTGAACTACCTACGGACACGGTTCCGTATCGTGGTTGTGTGTGTTTCATTGTTCCATAGTGAAGCACGGGCACATTAATTTGCGAAGCTAGCGATGGCACGCTTTTAAACAAAGCACACACATAGTTGTTCCACGACAAGCACGTCTCGATTTGCGAGAACAACACTGTCAATGGTTCTACCGGACGCACAATATGTTTTCACCCAAACGTTCACCACAAAGTCCGACGAGACGCCGATGGTGCAAGACCTAGCTTCTGCCGCCGTTGAGGAGCCGCCGAGCCGGTACTTAGTGCACGAGCAAGACCGTCATGGCGACCTGGTGGCTACCGATGAAATGCCGGAGCCCATCCCTCTCATTGACCTTAGCCGGCTCATGGACGCCGACAAGGCTGACAAGCTCCGGACGGCTCTACAGACCTGGGGCTTCTTCCTGGTGAGCGAGCATCTATGCATGTGTGCACCTTAATTACTCTTCCCTCCGTTCACAAGTATAAGATGTTCTAACCTTTTTGTGAATTGGATACATAAAGGCATGTTTATGTTTTAGTGTGGTTGTTCACCCATTTCAGGCCGAGTGTAGTCCATATTGAAATATCCAAAACATCTTATATTTGTAACGGAGGGAGTACTAGCTTATAAAGTTATTGGACTCTTACTGAAACTGTTTAACTTGTCCAGGCCACCAATCATGGGATCGAGGATTCTCTCATGGATGCAATGATGACCGCGTCAAGGGAGTTCTTCCGTCAACCGTCCGAAGAGAAGCAGAAATGCAGCAACCTGGTGGACGACAAGCATTACTAGGTGGAAGGGTATGTCAGTGATAGAGTGGTTTCCGAGGATCATGGCCTGAACTGGAACGACCGGTTGCATCTGAGAGTGGAGCCAGAAGATGAGAGGAATTTCGCTAAGTGGCCCAGTCACCCGGAATCTTTCAGGTTCCCTACTCCCTTACCTTGAGTGATGTTTTTCACATTTCTAATACTGTATTAGCTTAGTTGTAAAGGAAGGCAGAGTGAGAATTCCAGAAAAGTATCAATGTAAACTGCACTCTGGGTAGTCAATTGTCTCGTAGCATTGCGCGTCTCTCTTGCTAGTGGGCCCGTATTACCATATCATTTCCTATAATTAAGTAAGGCTGAAATTAACTAATTTTGATACAATTTTCCTTTGTGAATGCAGACTTTTGAGAACTTCTCTTAATGACGTAGTTTTCTCGATGTTGTTTTGTGAATTTATTGATTAATTACTTTCTTTATAAGAGATTCAAAGTTTGGGGTGATTACCCTCTTTTCAAAAAGAAGATAAAAAGATATTCAGAGACAATTCATAGATATAAACTTAATAAAGAGACCAAAATCTTTGATTTGACTAAACTATTATAGAATCTTTCTACAGGGATGTGCTAAATGAGTACGCATCGAAATCCAAGAAACTAAGAGACATTGTCTTGCGATCAATAGCCAAGCTCTTGGAGATTGATAAGGATTACTTCGTCAACCAGATATCAAACAAGGCTTCTGGTTTTGCCAGACTCTACTACTACCCTCCATGTCCGAGGCCTGACCTAGTTTTGGGCCTCAGGCCTCACTCTGATGGAAATCTTCTTACTATCCTTTTTGTCGACGACGATGTTGGTGGCTTCACTCATACATACTAGTTGCCCTGATTATCCTATCATTCAGTATGCAGATGATACTATTTTAGTGGCGAACGCTGATCATAGACAGGTGCAGCATATCAAAAATCTCCTGTCACATTATGCTCATTACACAGGACTCAAAGTGAACTACGCAAAGTCTACAATGATCTCTATTAACACTCCTCCTAAGAAGATGATTGAACTTTCTAGCATTTTAGGATGCAAGATTGGTACTCTACCACTCAATTATCTGGGGCTCCCACTGTGTCTATCTATGCCTAAAGTTGAGGATTTTGTTCCACTGCTCCAAAGGATTGAGACAAGGCTACTTAGCTGTTCTACCATGCTGTCCACTGGGGACAAAGTCACCCTCATTAAATCCATCTTCACAAGTATGCCGAATTTTTTCATGAGCACTCTGATGATACCCAAAACTGTTGTCAAACAAATCAACACCGATCTCATGAATTGTTTTTGGAGAAAATATGGTACCTTGGATAGAGGCACTGTGCTCATTGCCTGGGATAAAGTTAACAGACCAAAAAACCAGGGTGGACTTGGGGTTCTAGGTCTCCACATACATAACAAGGCTCTGCTCCTGAATTTTTTGCATAAGTTCTTTAACAAAGCGGACACACCTTGGGTACATATCATTGAAGGAAATATGCCCTAGAGGCAATAATAAAGTTATTATTTATTTCCTTATAATCATGATAAATGTTTATTATTCATGCTAGAATTGTATTTACCGGAAACATAATACATGTGTGAATACATAGACAAACAGAGTGTCACTAGTATGCCTCTACTTGACTAGCTCGTTAATCAAAGATGGTTATGTTTCCTAACCATGAACAATGAGTTTTTATTTGATTAACGAGGTCACATCATTAGTAGAATGATCTGATTGACATGACCCATTCCATTAGCTTAGCACCCGATCGTTTAGTATGTTGCTATTGCTTTCTTCATGACTTATACATGTTCCTATGACTATGAGATTATGCAACTCCCGTTTACCGGAGGAACACTTTGGGTACTACCAAACGTCACAACGTAACTGGGTGATTATAAAGGAGTACTACAGGTGTCTCCAATGGTCGATGTTGGGTTGGCGTATTTCGAGATTAGGATTTGTCACTCCGATTGTCGGAGAGGTATCTCTGGGCCCTTTCGGTAATACACATCACATAAGCCTTGCAAGCATTACAACTAATATGTTAGTTGTGAGATGATGTATTACGGAACGAGTAAAGAGACTTGCCGGTAACGAGATTGAACTAGGTATTGGATACCGACGATCGAATCTCGGGCAAGTAACATACCGATGACAAAGGGAACAACGTATGTTGTTATGCGGTCTGACCGATAAAGATCTTCGTAGAATATGTAGGAGCCAATATGGGCATCCAGGTCCCGCTATTGGTTATTGACCAGAGACGTGTCTCGGTCATGTCTACATTGTTCTCGAACCCGTAGGGTCCGCACGCTTAAGGTTACGATGACAGTTATATTATGAGTTTATGCATTTTGATGTACCGAAGGTTGTTCGGAGTCCCGGATATGATCACGGACATGACGAGGAGTCTCGAAATGGTCGAGACATAAAGATTGATATATTGGAAGTCTATGTTTGGACATCGGAAGTGTTCCGGGTGAAATCGGGATTTTACCGGGTTACCGGGAGGTTACCGGAACCCCCCGGGAACCATATGGGCCTTCATGGGCCTTAGTGGAAAGGTGAAAGGGCTGCCCACCAGGGCTGCACGCCTCCCCCCTTCCCCTAGTCCTATTAGGACTAGGAGAGGTGGCCGGCCACCCTTCTCCTCTTTCCCCCTTTGGGGATTCCTAGTTGGAATAGGATTGGAGGGGAGTCCTACTCCCGGTAGGAGTAGGACTCCTCCTGCGCCACCTCCTCCTGGCCGGCGCCTCCTCCCCCCCTTGGCTCCTTTATATACTGAGGCAGGGGCACCTCTAAACACACAAGTTGACACAAGTTGATCCACGTGATCGATTCCTTAGCCGTGTGCGGTGCCCCCTGCCACCATATTCCTCGATAATACTGTAGCGGAGTTTAGGCGAAGCCCTGCTGCTGTAGTTCATCAAGATCGTCACCACGCCGTCGTGCTGACAAAACTCTTCCCCGACACTTTGTTGGATCGGAGTCCGGGGATCGTCATCGAGCTGAACGTGTGCTCGAACTCGGAGGTGCCGTAGTTTCGGTGCTTGATCGGTTGGATCGTGAAGACGTACGACTACTTCCTCTATGTCGTGTCATCGCTTCCGCAGTCGGTCTGCGTTGGGTACGTAGACAACACTCTCCTCTCGTTGCTATGCATCACATGATCCTGTGTGCGCGTAGGAAAATTTTTGAAATTACTACGAAACCCAACAGTGGCATCCGAGCCTAGGTTATTGATGTTGATGTTATATGCACGAGTAGAACACAAGTGAGTTGTGGACGATACAAGTCATACTGCCTACCAGCATGTCATACTTTGGTTCGGCGGTATTGTTGGACGAGACGACCCAGACCAACCTTACGCGTACGCTTACGCGAGACCGGTTCCCTCGACGTGCTTTGCACAGAGATGGCTTGCGGGCGACTGTCTCTCCAACTTTAGTTGAACCAAGTATGGCTACGCCCGGTCCTTGCGAAGGTTAAAACGGAGTCTATTTGACAAACTATCGTTGTGGTTTTGATGCGTAGGTGAGATTGGTTCTTACTTAAGCCCATAGCAGCCACGTAAAACATGCAACAACAAAGTAGAGGACGTCTAACTTGTTTTTGCAGGGCATGTTGTGATGTGATATGGTCAAGGCATGATGCTGAATTTTATTGTATGAGATGATCATGTTTTGTAACCAAGTTATCGGCAACTAGCAGGAGCCATATGGTTGTCGCTTTATTGTATGCAATGCAATCGCGATGTAATGCTTAACTTTATTACTAAACGGTAGTGATAGTCGTGAAAGCATAAGATTGGCGAGACGACAACGATGCTACGATGGAGATCAAGGTGTCGCGCCGGTGACGATGGTGATCATGACGGTGCTTCGGAGATGGAGATCACAAGCACGAGATGATGATGGCCATATCATATCACTTATATTGATTGCATGTGATGTTTATCTTTTGATGCATCTTATCTTGCTTTGATTGACGGTAGCATTATAAGATGATCTCTCATTAAATTATCAAGAATTGTTCTCCCTGAGTATGCACCGTTGCCAAAGTTCGTCGTGCCCAGACACCATGTGATGATCGGGTGTGATAAGCTCTACGTCCATCTACAACGGGTGCAAGCCAGTTTTTGCACACGCAGAATACTCAGGTTAAACTTGACGAGCCTAGCATATGCAGATATGGCCTCGGAACACGGAGACCGAAAGGTCGAGCGTGAATCATATAGTAGATATGATCAACATAAATGATGTTCACCATTGAAAACTACTCCATCTCACGTGATGATCGGTCATGGTTTAGTTGATTTGGATCACGTAATCACTTAGAAGATTAGAGGGATGTCTATCTAAGTGAGAGTTCTTAAGTAATATGATTAATTGAACTTAAATTTATCATGAACTTAGTACCTGATAGTATCTTGCTTGTTTATATTGATTGTAGATAGATGGCTCGTGCTGTTGTTCCGTTGAATTTTAATGCGTTCCTTGAGAAAGCAAAGTTGAAAGATGATGGTAGCAATTACACGGACTGGGTCCGTAACTTGAGGATTATCCTCATTGCTGCACAGAAGAATTACGTCCTGGAAGCACCGCTGGGTGCCAGGCCTGCTGCTGGAGCAACGCCAGATGTTATGAATGTCTGGCAGAGCAAAGCTGATGACTACTCGATAGTTTAGTGTGCCATGCTTTACGGCTTAGAATCGGGACTTCAACGACGTTTTGAACGTCATGGAGCATATGAGATGTTCCAGGAGTTGAAGTTAATATTTCAAGCAAATGCCCGGATTGAGAGATATGAAGTCTCCAATAAGTTCTATAGCTGCAAGATGGAGGAGAACAGTTCTGTCAGTGAGCATATACTCAAAATGTCTGGGTATAATAATCACTTGATTCAATTGGGAGTTAATCTTCCGGATGATTGCGTCATCGACAGAATTCTCCAATCACTGCCACCAAGCTACAAGAGCTTCGTAATGAACTATAATATGCAAGGGATGAACAAGACTATTCCCGAGCTCTTCGCAATGCTGAAAGCTGCGGAGGTAGAAATCAAGAAGGAGCATCAAGTGTTGATGGTTAACAAGACCACTAGTTTCAAGAAAAAGGGTAAAGGGAAGAAAAAGGGGAACTTCAAGAAGAACGGCAAGCAAGTTGCTGCTCAAGAGAAGAAACCCAAGTCTGGACCTAAGCCTGAAACTGAGTGCTTCTACTGCAAGCAGACTGGTCACTGGAAGCGGAACTGCCCCAAGTATTTGGCGGATAAGAAGGATGGCAAGGTGAACAAAGGTATATGTGATATACATGTTATTGATGTGTACCTTACTAGAGCTCGCAGTAGCACCTGGGTATTTGATACTGGTTCTGTTGCTAATATTTGCAACTCGAAACAGGGACTACAGAATAAGCGGGCACTGGCAAAGGACGAGGTGACGATGCGCGTGGGAAACGGTTCCAAAGTCGATGTGATCGCAGTCGGCACGCTACCTCTACATCTACCTTCGGGATTAATATTAGACCTAAGTAATTGTTATTTGGTGCCAGCGTTGAGCATGAACATTATATCTGGATCTTGTTTAATGTGAGACGGTTATTCATTTAAATCAGAGAATAATGGTTGTTCTATTTATATGAGTAATATCTTTTATGGTCATGCACCCTTGAAGAGCGGTCTATTTTTATTGAATCTCGATAGTAGTAATACACATATTCATAATGTTGAAGCCAAAAGATGCAGAGTTGATAACGAAAGTGCAATTTATTTGTGGCACT